TAAGTTTAGTAAACTGAATTAAATATATATATATATATATTCAAGACAAAACACTGGAAAATAGTAGTTTAAGAGTACGCTTAGGATAAAGCCATAAAAGGAATACCTAGTAAAAGATCCTATAAAAAGGAAATGTTTACCTCAACTGTTTCATCTGTTATTGTTTAGTGTTGGAAAACCAAATATATAATACAATCAAAGCACTCTGTCTGTCTCTATCTGTCTCTTTCCCTTCCCCATGTATCGATTAAGTAACGATAAATCACTCTTTGCAGTTTAAAAAAGAGCCTCATCGATACATAAATTAATGTTAATTTTCACCATTACGCAAACAGAAAATGTTTCGGTTTATTTTGGTTAATTTTCCATTTTGTTTTGAGTTCTTTGTGTTTTCTTTTTTCTTTTTTTTTTTTGTGTGTGTAAATGTGTTTTATTAGCCTCCCCTTTTACGCCGTCAAAAGATTAAAAAAAAAACTTGCCATAACAACAACAACAGCATAAGCATTTCGACTAGATAAATTCCAACATTGATATATTTATATATATATATGTTTTTGCAACTTGGCGCTGAAATCAAATAATCGCAAACAATCGATCGCAAAACTGGTTCAATAAATACCATAAACGGGAAAGAAACACACATAATATAAGCCACATATAATCACATATATAGCATTTGAACTTATTATTAGAGACTATAATATTGATGATCGTTTTTTGGTTTCACCATTATGTTTTTGCGTTGAATTTCCAATTCGATTTTATGATTTTCAAATCGATTGCAGTGGTTGAAGAGCAAGGTTTTTCTGAGGCCAAGTTGGTTGTAATGGTATTTATGTTTCAAGCTAAATTGCTGATTAAATAATAATTGGAAAATAAACAAATACCATTACATTCACTAGCTTTGAAAGAAATCTTTCAACCAAATACTAGTTTAGTGAGTAAGTTCCATTGTGTGACCTCCTTGAACCCTGAACCTTGGATTGCTTTTACCAACGCTCGAATTTTCGTTGTGGAAGCAGAACTGAGAGATGAGCCCATTCAAATTGGTGGCTCGCCAATAATCTACTTTGGAGATCCTTTTGTGAAAGTGGGTCAACCCTTCTCGATCATCTGCGTATTCCCGATCACGGAGCGCATCGATTGGCTCAAGGATGGCGAGTCGATAAAGAGGCACAATTTGCGGCACTTTAGGGACGAACATTACTACTATTTGGAGGAGAAACCTATTGCAGGTGAGTATCCGCGTTTGGCCCGATCCTAATCCGGAACCTGATCTCAACCTGGCTCTGTGTTATCCTGGCTAAAGGTGACGAGCACAAGATGGAGGCCATCCTTAGCGTGCAGCAGGCCCTCAAGGTGCACGAGGGTAGCTATAAGTGCAACCATCGGCACGACAACTCCTTCATGCTGCACGTGCGTGATCCTAGCGGCGAACCCACCGAGTCCGGCTATCATACAATTGATGAGCTCACCCCCGACTCGGCGGAGGAACGTTTCAAGCTCAATTTTCCCCACAAGCACAAGTCACACTTTGGCTACGGGAATGCCACCACCTCGTCCAGTGCCATGCCCTGGCATCCCTCGGCGGGTGGCGGCAGCAGCAGCAGCGGCGGCGGCGGCATGATGATCCATCGCGTCGATACACCGCCAGACATTCCACCGCCACGCTTCAGTATGTACAACGAAGGGCACACTGTGGCGCCACCGGAGCGACCCACCATACTGTACAATCAGTCGTATAATCCCACTGCCACCGCCACAGCCACAGCTAGCGCCACTGCCACTGCCACGGAAGCCGGCCTGCTCCTAACCACGGCGCATCACCATGCCCACCACCAGCAGCAGCTGCAGCAGCAAGCGCAGCACACGCTCAACGCTTTTCAGCTTCAACCGCCGCCGCGGCCAATTACTAACGCGAATCTTGGCCAGAACGAGAGATATCAGACCCATGCACCGCACTATGTGCCACCAATAATGGGTGGCGGTGGCGGTGGCGGTGGTGTCACAACAGCCCGAGGAGGCGAACGTGGTGAGCAGCAGCAGACCACAACTTCAGCAGCCACCAGTACAATCTCCATGATGATGACTGGATCTGGTCACGGACATGGACATGGACATGGGCATGGACACGGACATGGAGGTGTAGGAGGTGCTCATATGGGTGGAGGAGGAGGAGGTGGTGGTGGTGGTGCTGCTGCTGCTGGCGGAAGTGGTCACATGATGATGGGTGGTCAAGTGCATCTACAGCATCAGACGCTCTTGCCTGACAAGAAGGGTGAGCCACATACACATAAACACACACACTAAACACATTTCACTCACACACATACGAAACACATTTCACACACCCATACACACACTCAGTACTTATCAAAGTTCAACTCGTAACTTGCCCACTTTGTTGTTGTTCGTTTTTGGCTTTTATCTCGCTCGCGCCTCTCAAAATCGCCATTGTAATTGTTATCGTGCAACAAAAAACATGGAGCCTTGCCCCCATTTTCAATTCGTTCGATTACTGTTATCGATAGTTTAGTCAATATTTGCTTGGAGATGAATTTTAGGAATCCTAAGCATGTTTGTTGTTTTGTTGCTTAAAATAAATTATAAATCACTTATATGGGATTATTGGAATTCATACATAATTTAATTAATTAATTTTTGCATTATAAATGTGAATTTTCGCAAAAATTAGTTTTAATATTCTTAATTCTAATTTCAGTCAAAAGCTTAAAACTCAGTGAAGGATTCATTTTTGACTCTATAAATCATATATATTCTTAATCAGCATCAACAAGATAATCCAACTTAGCCAAAAATAAAATTGTTTTTCAAAAATTTTAAATTTTTTCAAAAAATAGGAAAGGGGTTACATCGTTAACATTTTCAAAAATTCGACACATATTTAATTTTTAAATTGCGTATGCAGATTTATTAATCTAAAAAAACTAGAATAGTTATGAGTTTTTTAAATTTTGATTTCTTGATATAGTTTTCGTATAAAAATACCAATAAATGTGTATTAAAAAAATGCTTACTTAGGTTTAATTTGAATTCTTAATTAATTTTTATATCGTTAAGAGTTTAATATTCTGTCTTTTTGCTAAATTCATTTACTGATTTGAATATTTTCTGCAAAAAATTAAAATAAATTTAATGTAGGATGCTTTTTCCCCGTGCATTTTCTTTCCCCTTTTAATTTTTTGAAAACCCCTAATACAGTTATTTATTTATTAATTACAAATTTCAATAGAAAGCGTTTTAAAATCTCCAAAAGTGCCATAACTCTGATAACGTGAGAATTGAAAACGGGAACCTGGTGCCTTCAATTGCAATTGTTTGTGTTACCCCACCCCAGCCCCAATCGCTCTGTCTCTTTCGAACTGCATTGACATCAGCTCACCCCCCTCGCTCGCCCTCCTCCTCATCAGCGACCCTCCAAAACCCCACCCGCTTGCTCGCGTCGTCTCGTTCCATTGCATTTACCTCGCTAGTCTAATTTTGGTGTTGTAGGTTTTTAAATTAAAAGCTAATCGTTCGCTCTCTCTCTTCATCTCTCTCTCTCTCAGTCTGACTTTGACAAAGCTAGCTGTATGACATTCTGACATCCACACTCACACCCACACATTCATATACAGTCACACCTTTAAGTTAAGCTTGAGTTGTTTGCTTGAACTTTTTCATCATTGCCGCTGCTGTTTCTATTTTTTTGTTTTGTATTTTCTTCTTGTTCTTTGTCTTTTGTTCGATTACCTTTTCTTGATTTCATTTGATGTCCTATCTGTGTCTTTGTTTTCGTTTGCATTTGCCTTGCCTTACTTTCTTTTTGGCTTTGTTTCGTTGCTTTCCTACGTTGTTTACTCTGATTGTTGAACACACAGCTGGCAGGTGCACAGCGCGGCGTCAATTTCGATTTCGATTTCGATTCAATTCCCATTTGATTGGCAGCCAGTTTTTTGCGATGACGCATAAGTTTACAATTGGCAGCGTTTGGCTTACGAGCTGATTATCAGCAGGTTGGCCGGTCGGTCGGTCGGTCGGTCTGTGCCAGATAAGGCGAAAAAAACACGCCACGTGATGAGTCGCTGATTCTCGACCTGTCTTGCTCCCATCTTTCTCTTGCTCTCTCTTTTTACTCTCTCTCTCTCTCTCACTTTGTCTAAATATATATTCCCTTGCTTCTCTGCTTGCGCTTTGTGTATATCGATTAATTCGATATCTAGCATATCGGAGTGTGTGGCTTTATGTGTATATATCGATAAATATGAATCTAAAAACTTTTGCTCTATTTTATATTGCAGCTAACTTTACTAATAAATTTTATCAATAAATTAACTAAATTAATTAACTAACTAGCCATAAACTATATACACATATCAAAAAACGATAATAAATAATCAAATACCGTAATCTCATTTCGTAAGCAGCGTAAAATGAAGTTTATTTGATTTCAGTCCAAGTTTGAAAATAGTACAAAAAATGTGTTTTATATGAGACCCGCCCCACAGAGGATGAATAAAAAATAAAATTCGATGATTGACCAAGTTGTATGCTCTTTTGTTTTATTTATACGTATTCTTTAATTTTAGTTTTAGTTTAGTTTTACCAATTATTATATACTTCTTTTGCTCCACCTATGATTTGGTATTAGTGATTTGTGTGTTGCTAAATCATCATACTATCCTAAGCAATTTAGTCCAGTACTCAAAAACCAAATCTCCAGCTCTCATCTCTCAGCAAAAAAAAATATACCTCAGAAATCTCTCGAAAATGCTCCACAAAAAACAAACTTCTCATACTTTAAGCTCGTTCTCAATTTATTCCTATAAGCAAATATATATATATTTATCTCTATATACAAGTTATTAGATATAAACTTTGTTAAGCAGTTCCTTTATGTAAACGTTTTCTTGTACCCAAAATTTGTTAGAATGAACACAATGACTGCCCCTGCAAATATTTGACTAATCTTTATTCCCATCCATCTATACCATCTCCAGATAAGCTGGTGCCAAACTATGACAATGTCGAGCATCAAATGAAATTTTACGACATCAGAACGCCGCTGGTGCTCAGCTGCAACGTGAGAGACGCCGATCCGACGGCCCCACTTATATGGTAAGTCATTTCGAACACCCCAAAAAATAAACGAAACCTTGTACGTATCCCAAAATATCCGGGGGATGTTGTTTGCCAGCCCCCCAAGGGTGGAATTTGAATGGAATGGGATGGGATGGGATGTCTGTGTCCCACATAGTTAGTAGTTATAAGAGCAATCATTTTAATACGGCACAGCTAAGCACTTTTGCTTAATTATGTTGGCCTGACTGCCTAACTGACTGCCTGACTGACATAACCTGAGTGGCTAGAACAAGAGTGAAAAACCTCAGGATAACCAGATACGAAGTACTGAATACACTGCAGGATATGTCATATAGGAAGAAGAAGAGTTGTATATACAAATATAATGATAGTAATCAATCCAAAACTTTGATAGTTACTTAAAAAGAAAAGATCTAGGAAGAAATTCTTGAATCTAAGATCTAGCCCAAGGATCAACATTTTCAACAATCTTGTTCTTCATTATCCTTTGCTCACCTTTCCTAGAACTCTCTGTACTTCCACCCTGTAAGCATCCTTGCCAGAACCTTTGTTTTTTAACAAATTCATAAAATAAAACAAAGAACCAAAGACATTAGTTAGTCACTGCATATATTTTATATTTCAATTTCTGTTGCAAAAGTTGTACGAATAATTTGCATAGTTCTCTTGGTAAAGGGTACAATAAGGTTCCATTTTGTGGTAGACGACGGACAAGTGTGTACGCCTGAGTGGGAGTCGTGGGAATGGACGTTGGGTGTGGGGTCACTTCTGCAATGGAGGTGGTTACTGGAAAGTGCCTTCCTGTCTGGGACTGGTTAGTAGTAGTAGTTGGATCGCCCAGCTCCCTCTGCTCAGGGGTCTGGTAATGGTAATGACACTTTTGTTCATTCCGGGACCTGTCCGGGTCTCTGGTTCTCCGTTTTCCGTTCCTCAGTCCTTAGTCCTCGGTCCTCGGTCCTGAGTTCTTGTTATTGTTCTCCTTGCTCTTGGGGCCAGGGCCAAACTTTGCGTGTGCCGAGCTGTGGAATTAGTCTTTGAATAATTGGCAAAAGGCGAAGAGAACCAAGGAGATAGAGGAGATTGGAGCCAGTTCGCTCCTCGTGTAGGTGCAGCCGACCGTCTCGGCGATAACTGTAGAATTCATTTAGATAAATGGTGTTTTTTTTGCTGCTACTTAATATATACAGAGAGAAAAATACAAAACTCTTTAAATGGGCACTTCATGGTAAACTATAATAAACAAAAAACAAGAGGCATTTAGGGATGTTTAAAAGAGGAAAAACTATAAAGTTTTGTCAGGATTACAGAGGCTAGGTCATCCATCCATTATCTAACTAATCCTGATTTTGCATATCCTTGTTTAGGAAAAAGAACGGAACGGCAGTGACAGAGGTGGCTTCGCTAAGGGGTCGCTACAAGCTAATCGATGCCGAGAGGAAGTTCATCATCGATAGGACGGAGCCTCATGACGATGGACTCTACAGTTGCGAGTTCGATGGCGAGTCCAAGAATATCAATGTGATTGGTAAGTGGCCAGACCCATAAACCCATAACCATAACCAAACCTTTACCCTCCCACAATAATCTGCAACCGAAACCCATATTGATTGATATCCTTTATCGCCTACAGCCCGCGTTGTTGTACGAGTGCCTTCAAATACAGCCGTTGTGGAGGGTGAGAAGATGTCGGTGACCTGCACCGTTTTAGGTACCAAGCCGCAGCTGTCGTGGACCTTTGGTGAGTCAGAATCTAAACCTGAGTTTTGGATTTAAATTGAAAAACTGAAAAACTAACATGACGCTTCATTCTGCTACTTTAGGTAATATCACGCTGACGAACGCCACAGATCGGTTCGTCCTCAAGGAGGACAATGGAGTCCCGAACTCCATTCTTACCCTGGAGAATGTGACATTGGACGACAGAGGCGAGTACAAGTGCTTTGGACGCAATGCGGCCAATGAATACGGTGTGAACAGCACTGTTGTCTACGACACCACAACTGTGCGTGTTAAGGGTAAGTTTAAATCGACCAAGGAGTGGCAGCCTTCAGGCCATAAAAAATCTAGCGAAAGATACCCCGGTCACTGGGCTTTGTCGTGATCTTATATACTATATTTAACCTTCATGCTGAGGAATTCATTCAGAAATCAATTATTCGATGACCTTGGCAGGTTTTCTTGCTAATTAAATATATTGGGGAAAGGCCATTGAAGCCTTTTTCTTATCTTAACAAAATTATCAACATGTTCAATAATTTTGTGTACTTGTTTCACTTGTCTGAACATTTATCTTAAACTGTAAACCCATTAGAGTTAATTAAAAGTTTGCAATTATTGTTATAAACTCTTTTTTGGCAAAAATAAACGACAAAGATAGTGACCCTGATTATCTTTAATTCTCAAAAGTATATATTTTAATATGTTGTAATTTATTTTAGGCAAATTCGCCGCCTTGTGGCCTTTCCTGGGCATCTGTGCTGAGGTGCTGATTCTCTGCGTCATCATTCTCATCTATGAGAAGCGACGCAACAAGAGCGAACTGGAGGAGAGTGATACTGATCCCCAAGAACAGTAAGTGTGCCTACTCTCCAAATCCAACAACAACAACAACAACAACACACCAACCAATCAAATCCACAACCAACAACAACAACAACAAAAAACAAACAAACAACAACTGTCAACACCAAATATTATTAAACAAAAACAATCAACAACATGAAAGAAGAAGAAAAAACAGCAAAACAACAGCAGAAGAGGAAAAATGTTGAAAATTTTAGTTTTATACTGCAAATTAAAGACGTTGAAGCTGCAGGCAAATACAAATGCAGACCAAACACCAAACTACACTAACGATTACGGACGGATACAATAAATACGGATAATGCCACGTACTTACAGACACGGACAGAGGGACAATTAAACGGACAGCATAGGGCAGCAGCTACAACAATTAGTGAAATTTTCTTAGTTAACAATTTCTAATAGTGTTACCCAAAAAGTCGAAGGGAAAATGAATGAATTTTTGTGTGTTTTTGTCGCAAAAAAAAGAAGGAAGCAGAAGCGGAAACGGAAACGGACGATGGACGAAGACGGATACACGCGCGGTGCGGTGAAAAGTGAAAAGTTAAACATTTAAGAAACTATCTAGTTTTTTTCTAATTTTGTATTATATAACAAATGATAATAATAATGCCCAGAGAAGTGAAATGCAAGCTTAGACTTGTAGCTTTCGAAATTCTAGTTCGATGTGTGCTAAAAAAAACGGGAGCAAATATATATTCCTGATATATCCGTATATTTGCATTGCCCGTTTAAATCTCTGACAAACACAAAACGGAAACACAAATGAAAAATAAAATATTCAAAACTACAGCTAAAACTTGAAACTAAACTAAAAACAAACGCGCACAACAGACACTCTACTACTCACACAAACACACACACACCCCACTACACACACCACACACACCCCAAAAGTTAAAACAAAATATGTAGTTCTATAGCTATAAAATATTATAATTATAATTCATCGTAAATATGCCTTATAATTTCTTGCTTAATTCGAAACGAAAATTCATTTGTTCTCGCTATTGCTTGTTTCTGTTGCTTGGAAAGAAAGAAAAAAAAACTTGGATAAAACAAATGAAAACTTTAGAAAAAACGTATACAAAACCATACATATTAACGATAAACGTTCTTTTTATGTCAAAGTCCAGTCCATAATATTATTATTATTATTATTATCATTATTATTATTATTATGATTATGATTATCATGTAAAAGAGAAACGACAAGCAAATGTTATCGACTTTCTTCTTAAGTACTTATTGTTTAATTATTATACATTTCAAAAAACACACAAACAAAAAGAAGCAAATGTTGTCCAACTGCAACAACAACAGCAACAAAACAGATTTAATCGTTACTTATGTATATTATAAATCACTATATAAGCTTATTAATTTCTTGGCAGTGAATCAAACGTTTACACACACGCAGAACACTCACACACCCACACACAGAAATCGTAGCTCAACACTTTTGCATTGATTTTGAAATTATAATTAGCATTATTTGTATATTGTACACAAAAAAAAAAAACAAAACAAGAGTATTTAAAACCCCCTTACACCCCCCAGAAAACGCCCCAAAGTTTGCGCACTTTATGTTTTATTTTTTTCCTTTAGTTTGTCGCCTCTGTTGATTTTGCTGTGTATAAAAAAACTTGAATTATTTCGATTCTTTGTATCTAGTATCTAAACAACAAAAATCTTGTGCTATTGTTTATACCGATTACAATTATCCATTATGATTTTGTGCGTTTTGAGATTGATTTCTACCGAAATATAAAACAAACAACAAAAAATACAATTGTAAATTAAAGAAATAAAAAAATAAATAAATAAATAAAAAACAAAAAAAGAACAAAACCAAAAACCAATTTGCATTTTTATTTGTTTTGCTATTCTTTCGCTCCTATTTTCGATGTTGTGTCCATAATTTCGTTTTATGTTTTAGATTTTACTCCATGAGTTGTTTTTATTGTTTCTTAGATCCTGGTTTTAAACAATATTGGTTACTACTACTACTACCATATAAGTTGCAACTGCTTGCGTGCCTGCTGCTGTCGGGGCTTAGTGCTCCGATATGTTTTCTATCGATTTATATATATAAATATATATATGTATAATTTTAAGTTGCGTTGCCAATTGCCTTTTGATTTGCTGTAATTGACGATTTCTGGTATCTCTGTGAGTGACTCGTCGTCGTTTCGTTGCCAATAACCATGGGAAAGCAAGCTAATCAATTGTATTTTCCATTCTTTTCTTGTTTTATTCCCATAAATATCCCCATAAATATGAGTAGTTGATCAAATTCACTCTCTAGTTAAAGCTAAATTGAATGAAATCATAAAAAAAAACCAAAAAACTATAAGAAAAGCAAAATATTGTGGGAGAACCTGCCGCTTGATTCGATCGATTAATTGGTTGACTGTTTTCTGCAATCATCATCACAACCACCACCTCCAAAAAACGTAAAGAATAAAAAGCGAAAACTAACCTCGCCCTCGATCAAGTATCTCCATCAAATCAAATCAACCCGCCTTGACTAACAAAAAAAAATCTGATCAAAAAATAAGTGTGCCCAGCGTCAACTAATTATCATCAACAACAACAACAACAATTACTCCAACTAATACAACAACTCAACTCCAATTCCAACAACATCAACAACAACTACAATCACTGCAATAATAAGTAGCAAAATAACAAAAAAATATATATATATTAACAATCTCTGAACGGCAATAGCAACATCAACAGCATCTCTGCAACAGCAGCAATTCAACAACAGTAGTCTAACTTTTCTACTAACAAACAATTTGTTGATAATTTTTAGTTTAATTATCGTTTTTGGTATTGAAGCATAGTAAAGTTTAATGATTGATTGATTTATTGTCGCTCGACCCCATTAAATATTCCCGTGTAACTTCAAAAGTTTTCTTTATAGTTTCCCTCGATTATTTTGTATTGCCAAATCAAGAATCCCCAACAACCAATCACCACAACATCCAGTAAAGAACAATAACCTTAATAACACCAAAAACTAATTACCGTGATATTTGCAATTTATTCTTTATTGCAGGAAAAAGAAAAGGAGAAATTATGATTAAAATTCCTAAGAAAGAAAAAAAAGAATTAACACACACCGTATAAAATATAAACAAATAAAACCAATTAAATATGAGCAAACACACACACAGAGAGATACTTGAGAGTAAAAACAAAAGCGCATTAAAAACATTACATAAACTACAGCATAAAACTAGCGACTACATGAGATGGTAACGAACGAGAAACCCCCCATTTGCCCTCAGAAAAGTTGTGTAAACCTTCCCCGCCACGCCACTCTCACCTCTCAGCCCCCAAAAAGCCCATCTCCCGACACTGCAAAACTTTGTTTAGCGAAATTGAAAATGAGAAACAGACAATTAACATTAAACAACAAACAAGTAACACAAAACAAAAGAGAACTAAAATAATATTAAAATGGAAAGTGATAGCAGTTAAACGAACACTATAACAGAGATTATGGATAAAGGATGGCGGAATATCGGCGGAACTCTAGCAATTAACTTTAAAGTGAAGAAGCGTTAACTCCGAAGCAACAAAACAAAAAAAATATAAATAAAATAAACAAGAATGTCGCACATGCCCACACCCTCGCCCACGCCCACGCCACCCCTCCGCACCAGCCCAGCCCCCCTTGAAGACCTTAGAAACACACGAGAAAAAAAAACAAACTAAGTAATATTGTACATAACCTGAAAAAGTTGAGAAAGCTTAAGAAAAGAAAGGCAATTCTTCTGTCTCTGTACTATCTCTGCCTCTCTTTGTACCGTTATTATTTCCTAGGTAGCGATATTTTGAGGTTAGTTTTTAGTTCGATGAATGGAGAAGGAGGAGGAGGAGAAGGAAGCGCCACAGCAGTAACCGAAAATAGAAGAAAATTGATATGGAACAGGAGCAGCTACAACGCAACTGTTAAAGCGAATCAAGGAGAAGGAGGAGATGGAGGAGGAGGAAGAGTGAAAGTGAAAGCGAAAGCGAACGAGAGGATGTTGAAAAGAACTTTGTTTATTAAACTTAGTTAATATATGGTATAATGCAAAAACTGAAGATGAACTTTTTAAACAATTAAGTAGCGCGTTATGAGTATATTTTTAAAGGATTAATACCACAACTAGTAGCGAAAGGGCGAAGAACGCTGCTGCGAGAGCGAGAGCGTCAGCCGAAGCGGAAGCGGAAGCGGAAGCGAGAACCTTGTATATTGCATAATTTTAGGAGCAAAACGACGGAAACGGAAGTGTAATCAGATGCGTACTGCCAAAACTTGTAAAGTTCAGTACTATTTGCTTAGCCTCATTTTTGGTAACAACAAAAACTAAAAAAACCAAAATCAAAACAAACGAAAACTAAAAAAAAAAACAAAAAAAAAACTTAAAGCTAAAAACGAAATGTGTAAGATGAAGATGAATTCATAAGCTCTGTTAATTCATATAGATATATTTCTGTTGTTGTTTTATTTCGGTTGTTTATGTAAAATGTATGTGTATGTAAAAACGAGGGAACGAAACAAAACAAAAAACAACAACCAAGAACTAGAAAAGCGGTCTTCAATTCACAATTCTTAACTCGTAAACTCATAAACAAAATCATATATAGTGCATCTATACTATATATGTATGTATATGTATAAATAATTTATAAACTTTTAGTTCTAGTTGATGTGTTTTCCTTTTATTATTTATCTTTTGTTGTTGAGTTTTTCGCCGCCACCAAAGCTTTAAATATTTACATAGTAAAAACTGTGTTCTCAGCAAAATGATGAATCACTGAAAACAATTATGTTAAAAATGACACACAAAACGACGAGACGATTTGTATAGTAACTAAAAAAACCATGAGAATAATAATAAACAAAGAAAAGCCCTTGATAAAAGCCCCACAAAGGTAACGTTCTTGTTATATATAAATAAAGTATATATATATAATTCACGTGTGTGTGTGTGCATGTTCGATTACATAGTTATATACATATGCGAAGAAATTCAAGAAGAAGACACGA